TTATACAACACTATACATATATTTTATGAATTTCTGAGTTTCTAAGCCTTTTCTGTGTCATCTGCTGGCCTTTTTGCATGTCATTTGCAACTTCTGCAAAACTCCCCCCAAAATCCCATTTAATTTCTCATGCCTACCCATGCTATATTGAAACCGCAGTGGAGAAAGTTATAGTGTGGAAGGGATAACTGCATAATTAATGAAGAACTTTGAACTAGAACAGGAGTAAAAGATTTAATCATGGAAATGTATAGTTCACGTGGTGAGGGCAACAGTTGAAATGTGGACAACCCAAGAGCTTCTTTGGTAAAATCAAAACTTTAATAGAAATTGAGCAAAGTTTCTGGCATGTTGGGTGAGCCACTTGTGGGAGAACATGGACAAAGAATTTATCATGATGGGTAGACATGGATGGGTTGTTATCTGCATTGTTAGAAGGGATATCCAGATCCATGAGAAACACAGATCCATTGGAGGATTTGAAACATTGGCTTCTTTTAAAGCATAAAAGTGATTAAAGTTATTAATGACTAGAGTCTGCACAGTGGATATTGTACTAGACCTGGAGTCAAGAAGACTCATCTTCCTGAATTCCAATCTGGCCTCAGATACTTCCTAGTTGTGTGATCCCAGGCAAGTCAAGCCACTTAACCCTGTTTGCCTCAGCTTCCTCATCTGTAAAATGAGCTGGAGAAGCAAATGGCAAAGTACTTCAGTATCTTTGCCAACAAAAACAAATGGGGTTACGAAGAGTCAGATGCAACTGAAACAACAATAAGTCATTCCTGAGGAAATATAAATGCAGATGGCAGTGCCTATCTTGGTTCCTGTGGTCAGAGAGAACATCAACAATTTGGAAAGCCCAGGGCTTTCTCATCTTACCATTTCTTAGTAGAATGATGTATTTACTTGGGTTCCCCATCACTGACAGTTATTTTGCTTTAGAGCCTGATGTACTAAGCTCAGTCTAAGCAATGACTTTAATGTTCTATCCTAAAAAAAAAAATTCTCTTTGTACAGTTGACTTTTTTTAAAAAATTGTTGTCATTGTAAGCCAGAAAATAGTAGAGTAAATTGTAGAGTTTGCCTAGTTTTGAGGATCAGCAAGGCAGATAGGCATAATGAAAAGGGGACAAAGAATTTAAGGGTCATTTTAGTAGATTAACAAGCATTTTAAAATTACTTACTGTGGTATGTACCATATATTTTCCAAGGCCTGTACTAAATGGTAGAGATACATTCATTAATAAAAATGAAACAATCCCTGTCCCCCATGGAGCTTACATTGTTCCAGTGAAGAACGTATTGCTGAGATGACTGGGTAGGGACACAGGTAAGGGCAGAATGGGTGAAGGATAGAAGATGAAAGAAGAACTGAGGGACTAAAGGTTGAGATGAGAACAAAGGGCAGATGGCTCAGTAGGTATAAGAAGCAAGATTGGTAGAAAGCTAATAACAACAACAACAACAACAATAATAATAATAATAATAGCATTTTTATAGCACTTACTATGTGTCAGTCACTGTGCTAAGTGCTTTACAGGCATCTCATTTGATTTTCGCAACAACCTTGGGACAGATGCTATTTTATAGTTGAGGAAACTGAAGCTGATAAAGATTAAGTGACTTGTCCAGGGGCCACACAGCTAATAGTTATATAAGGCTGAATTTAAACTCGGATTTTCTTGACTCCAGGCCCAGCTCTCTATCCAGTGCACCACCAAGGCCCCAACAGAAGACAGCATGACATAGGGGAAAGAAAGAGCATAGGACTTGGTCCCACAACTCCATTTCTTATATAAGTTCCAGCTCTGACTCCACTACTTGTCCTTGGGCAAGTGGCTTTACTCCTTGAGGGTACCATCTATAAAATAAGGGAGTTCAAGCAATAACTTCCAAAGTTCCTTTCAACTCAGAAATTATATGAGAGGTTGTCCAGAGAGAAGTATTTCAGGGTCCTTAGAGCTTTTGCGGATATCTGAAGTGGAATCATTTGAAAATTGAGGAGGTTAAGGTATTGAAAGGTAGATTTTGGTGTTTAAGACATAAACTAGTCTCAAATCTTCTTATACTCATGGAGTTGTAATAGTTAAAATGTGAGGAAATTCTTTTTTTTGTTGTTGGGCTGCTTTTGAATTTAGCTGGGCCAGATTTATATGGCAATTTGTATTCACAAATAGTGAAATAAATGAAGCTCAGACTTCCCGTTGTCCAAATCCATTTACTGGTAATATTCAGGGTCAAAATGCAAGTTTGATAATCCCTTAAACTGAAGATATTGCATTCCAGTGGTGAAATTATCTATAATGGGCTGATGTGTGAGATTAGAGTAATGGTGTTGGCCAGATTCCATTTGTGCTCACATCACACTGGAAATAGACATAATTGATAACTTAGAATTTGGAGAAGCTATAAATAAATTCCTTAGGTTGTTATTTTGTGTGTGTTTATATCTAGCACAAAAAAAAGATTGAATAGAAGAATGTTGATACTATGATGCCCAAAAGGACATTTTGTATGGAAGTTTTTACCTGATATTCTTGAAAAGTTAATTTTTTATGACATTTGAATGATTTCTGATAAAATGTAATAGAAAGCACTGTCGGTCTTTTTAAACCTTGACATTTTTCCTTGCTTCAGCTTTCAGAGCTTTAAATAAAATTTGAAGAGTTGGAGATGCATCAAACTCTAACTCTAGCATTGTGTAAGCAAAATTGATTCTCCTACCCCACCCTGTACTTTACTCCCTTATTTTAAAGATCACTTTCCATTCATTTCCTGAAACAAAAGTAGTACAGAAGAGTCACAGCATGAAAGTACAACTGGTCTTTAGAACTTAGCCTCTCCATTGCACAGAGGACAAGTGGGGAAAAAAAAGATATTGTGGCAGAAGTAGAAATTGAGACCTAATTGCTATTTTTCTGCTTCAGCTTACCTTAAAAGAATACCTGTCTCTACAGAAAATTCTTTTGCCTTTTTGGTTGGACTGCTTTTGAATTTAGCTGTGGCAAATTTGTATGGCAGTTTGTTTTCATGCATAATGAAATGAATGAAGCTCAGGCTTTTCTTGTTGTCTGAATCCATTTTGAGTGATATTCAGGGGCATAATACTAGTTTAATAATTCCTTAAATTGGAATGATGGATTCATTCTAGTAGTGAAATTATCTAGAATAGGCTGATGTTTGAGATATTAGGGTAGTTGTGGTGGCTCTCTCCTTTAGAACTCAATATTCTTTAATTAAGTCTTTATGCTTATTTGTAAATTTTTTCATTACATATTTCCATTGGAGTTAAACCAATTGCCATTATTTTAAATATGATTGTAACTTCCAATAGTGCAAATTCAAATAATGCAACCACTTAATAGGATCAGTTATTTGCACTAATTGGGACTAGGTATATTCTCACTTAAATGTTTGAATGTATGGGAAGGCCAAAACAGGGGTCTTATGCTGTAATTTTTCTGAGTCTGGCCATTGCTACTGGTGGTTCCTGGATCTGTTATAAGGGGTAGAAGAGGTAAATTTAGTCTTCAAAGCTTTCTTTTTTGGGAGAAGATCACGGAGGGTGGGGATGAGAGAGCAGGTTGGAAATGAAGGCACAGAGTAGTTTTGTTTAGCTGAAATGTATAATACATAAAGAGGTAGCATAAAATTAAGCCAAACAAGTTTGGTTTGAGCTTGAACAAGTAAGTTGGAACTCAGTTATGAAGAGCACTGAATACTATTCAGTAGTTAATACTTTATTCAGAAGGCAATTGAAAGCCAAGGGAGGTTGGTCATTATTGTTTTAAATAAAGGACTAATATGATTGTAGTGATCCTTTAAAAAGATTACTGGGATAGCATAGTGAAAGATGAATTAGAGAAAGCAAAGGCTTTAGGCAGGAAGACCAATTAGGGGAATATTTTAGTATTCTACGTAGAAAGAAATGAAGGCCTTGAGCTATGGTGATTGTAGTGGGATGGGAGGAAGGGGAAATGTTATGGAAGTAGAAATGATAGAACTTTGCAAAAAAAACAGTCAAAGATGATCATAACATTAGGAGACTAGGACTATGGTAGTACCATGAACTGAAATTGAGAAGGCAGGAAGAGGGACAAGGTTAGAGGGAATGATAATGAATTCAGTTTTAAACATATTGAGTCTGAGGTGTTAATGCAACATTGAGGTGGAAATATAGGTTCTTGCAGAAAAATAAACACCTTGGAGAATACCCATATTCAAGAGTCAAAGTGTGAGGAGGAAGAATTGAAGGTCAGAGAGAAATAGAAGGAAACCCAGACAGACCAGAAGGGTCAAAGAGGATGAAGTCAGAATTTTTTTTTAATTTGGTGATAGGGAGCTCATTATCATATTGGATAGTTTCAGTGGAGCAATAGATTTGGAGGTTAAATTGCAAGGAGTTAAGGACTGAGTGGGTGATGAAAAAGTAGAGACAGTGAATTCAGAATATTTTTCAGAACAGTAACTTTTCAGTGAAGGGGAGAAAAGAAATGGGATGATGGCTTGAGAGTCATAGGATCAAAGCAAGTTTTCCTTCCCCCTGATAAGGGTGAAATAATTAAGGATTGGAGACATGTTTTGAGGTTTAAAGAAAGGATTCAGTAAAGAATGGGAGATTTTATATGCATGGGAAATAGGAAGGAAAGGTAATATGACTGACAGTCCTGGTTGTAGAAGAGGATGGTAGAGGGTTTAGCTTTGGGAATGTAGAGACTCTTCCTCTGAGACTGCAGGGAAGGATGGATGAGGATAGTGAAAAGATTAGAGGAGTTTAAACTAAAAAGATAAAAGAAAAAGCTATAGTTTTTGTGCATGGTGCTGAGATTCTTTTAGTGAACATTAGAAACCTAGAAGTACCTCATTATATGTTTAAGCAGTGAATTTTTGCTTATTTACTCACTCTTTGATACACAATAAATGACAAAATTGTATTTATATAAAAAAAACTATTAAATATGAATTATAACCCTGTTTTCATTTCTCTTCTCCCTTAGATGATGAAACATGCTTGGGATAATTATAAACTTTATGCGTGGGGATTAAATGAACTGAAACCTATATCAAAAAAAGGACATTCAAGTAGTTTATTTGGTGAGTAGCATGTACTTTGGTACTTAGTGATAGTGATAGTAACTCTTCCCCAACTGAATGTGACCTATAATTCTGTATACCTATAAGGGTTACTTATAGCAAACATAGGTAAGGATTCAAAATTTATTATCGATATATTACATTAGTAAAGACTGTTGACAATAGTATAAGTAGCTGCTACTAGCTGTTTCTAGTTTGACCCTAAAAGGTGGCTTTATCTTATGTGAAATAATCTATCTAGACAATCAGATGTGTTTACACTATGTCTCATATGTTTCTACCTATTATTGGCTTCCATATTGCAAGGACTGCAAGGAAATGTAGGCCTCAGTTATTTACCTTACTCATATTACATTTGTGTAGCACTTTTACATTTTCTAAAGACTTTTGTATACTTTATTTCATTTTATCCTCATAGGGCAGTTAATAATAATTCTTCCTAGTTCATGGATTAAGAAGCTAAAATACAGATTTAAGTGATTCACTCAAGGGTAGCTAGCTAGTGATAGAGATGGGAGAGACTCCTGTCCAGTCTTTCCACTAGACCAGGCTACCTGGTTATGTAGCCAAGGTAATGGGTTCAATTCCTATCAACACCAGTTGAACTTACTGTGGCATGAACAGAAAAGGAATTGAGGATTGTTTTACTGGTGCTCCTCTATAATTTTAAGCTCTACCATGAAGTTCATGTGGTCCCCTATGGTTTGTGCTATGAAAACAAGATCAAACAGTATTGTAATATAGTTATTTTATGCTAAGATGATCATCTCCTCTCGTTTTCTCCTCCTCCCTTATTTCTTCCCTCAACCCCCAGAGCTACTTTTCCTTGTTCACTTCTTCCCTGGAGGATTCTGAAGAGGAAACAGGATGAGGGGCTTGGTGATATGGGTTTGAGGGGTGGGCTATTCTTTGGTTTCTAAAACCAAACTAAAATGAATATAGAGTTCATTCAAAATATAAGGGGGCTCTGGAAGTTGAGTAAGTTCCTTTTTAATCTAAAATCAAATTAGCCTCAGAGTAGGCAGTGGCTCTTTGCATGGTCCCTTGATGGACAAAGGAAAATTTCTTTAACCAGCAGAGAATGAAATCTTATAGAACTTTAAGCAGGTCACATTTCCTTATTAATATGATTAGTTTTAAGAGATAAAATATCCAAATTCTTTTTTTGAAGTAGGATTTTTTTTAAGATTATTTATAAAATAGATCATCAGTTTATGTTTGCAAACCTGTTTTACATGGATTTTTTTTACAAAGTGTGTGTGTATGTGTGTATAAATATATATATATAGCATATAGTGTTAGTCATAGTGTTTGACTTTCAATGAAATTGACACAAAGAACCAAATAAGCAAACAATCTAGATTATGTATTATGTATTTTCATGTTTTTGTTTTTGGTTTTTTGGGGGTTTTTTTTTGGCTAGGCAATGGGATTAAGTGACTTGCCCAGAGTCACATAGCTAGTAGGTGTCAAGTGTCTGAGGCTGGATTTTATTTGAACTCAGGTCCTCCTTACTCCAGGTCCTGTGCTGTATCCACTGTGTCACCTAGCTGCCCCATATTATATATTTTCAAATGAAGCCTTCTGTAGCTCAATTAATTCATTTTGTGTTATCATTCAAATCTGTTCATCACAATTTACCAGTACATTACTGTAGGTGGTACAGTGGAGAGAGTGCCAGCCCTGGAGTCAGGAAGACTCATCTTTGGGAATTCAAATTTAGCCTTAGACACTTAAAAGCTCTGTGAACCTGGGCGAGTCACTTAACCTTTTATGCCTCAGTTTCCTCATCTGTAAAATAATCTGGAAAAGGAAATAGCAAACCACACCAATATCTCTGCCAAGAAAACCCCAAATGGGGTCACAAAGAGTCAAACAGGACTAAAACAACTGAACAACATATATACTATGGTATTTTTTTTAACACTCATTTTTTCTTTAAGGATTTTCTTTTATACCTAATGGAAATCAGAGTACTCAGGATCTTAGGATTTAGGGCTCAAAAACATCTCAGTCCAATCCCCTCATTTTTCAAATGAGGAAACTGAAGCCTGGACAGGTTATATGAATTGCCCAGGGTTGCACATGGTAGGCAGTAAATCTAATGCTATTTCCACGGTGGTATAATAGGAAACTTAAAGCCAAAAGCAATAAACCCAAGGTAATACAAGGTTTAGATAAAAGTCCCTTATCTTAGAGGAATCTTAGAGCCTAAGAGGGAAATATGACAATGAATTGATTTATAAAGTAGGCTTATAAGCTTTCCTCTGTGAAGGCTTTTAATTTCTATTATGTAATCCATCATTTCCAAGATCTATGGTTTTGGTGCCTCTAAACACCTAAAGTAATTTTTCTTGGACCTTTCCCACTCTGTATTCTTTGTCATTTTGTCTTTCTTCTCTTTTCCTTTTCCTCCTCTTTCCCTTCTCTTTATTTTTCATGCACATTCTCTTTTCTTTCCCTTTCTTTTTTCTTAGCTTCTGCCATAGGCCTTATTGAAATTAATAGGTAAATATTACTCAGTCTCATTAGTAGTACCCAGGGCTGGATATGTCATTGATCTTTGCCATAAGATATATTACTGGAATAAATCTCTCAAAGATCATTATAGTAAAAGGGCATAATGCTTTACTCAGTGTTATTAAACTCAATTCACTACTGAAACATTTAATTGTTCCCTATCATCTTAGGGCTTAAACATGCTCACATTATAATGCTTATAGATTCAATTTAATTGGAACCCTAAATGATTTGTTCCTGAGCTTTTAACATATTTCTTTCCCAAGTAGGTTTGTATAGAAATTCATCAAAGTGAAAAATCTTTTAATGCTTAAGAATATTATTTCTTTGATTTTTTTTTGCTTTTTTGCTTATTGAATAATTTTTAAAAATCTAAAATTTCTGATACTACTTTGTACTTTTACTCTATAAATTATAATTGCTTAAAATTGGTTGCATTTTAATAAGTTCCTTATCCAAAAGAACTTTGTGTTCCTTTCTAGTTTAATAACTAGGAATATTTATTTAGATTTTATATTGATCCTGAGAAACATTATACTTTTCCCTTTCTTATTTAATTTGTATAGACTTGAAGTAGCCTTAGTTTTGCTCTGTGAAAGTATATTGTAGAATGTGCAAGAAAACTTATTATTTTTAATAATAGTAATAATTTACTTTGAAGAAAGGAAAGATAACTCTCCCACAGCACTTGTCATTTTGTCTTCAAATTAAGGTTGGACATGTAGGGTAGCTATTTATCCTAATAGCTTAGCATGACTTGTTATAAAAACACTATAAAGTTTTAGTTTTTACCGGCAAATTATAGATTATATTATTGTATCTGTGGAGCTATTCTTAACTCTTCAATCAGAGAATAGCAAAGTGATGTTAACAGACTCCTTTACCTAATGGAAAAGGGAAAAATAACAAGCTCTTCACTATGTAGATTCTTAAGAAATGATTATCTGCATAACCGTAGGCTGTTCTGAGAACTGACTTGCAAAACATCTTCTTAGGGAAGAGTTAAATAATTTCAAAATCATGAAGCTTTTTAGGACTTTTTCCTTCTCAAGATTACTCTCTACCAGTTAGAGTGTAACAACTATTTCAGACCAGTTTTACATTCATTAAATGCCTACTATGTGCAAAGTTTTGTGCTAGGAACCGGAGAGCCTCAAAGTTAGTTAAGATAGGGGTTCTAACCTCTCTGTAATGGGGAGATAGGTTCATAAAATTTAGAGCCAGGTGGGATTGAAGAAATCATCTAGTATTACCCTTTCATTTTACAGATGGAAACTGAGGCCCAGATAGGTGCACTGACCCAGAATCACACAGGTAGCAGAGAATAGCATAGTAGGGTTTTAGAACCAAGGACATCTGACTCTAAATTGACTGTTCTTTCCGTTGTACTATATTGCTTCCCATGACAACATACACAGATTAAAATGTCTCCTTCTCTGTATGGAGAGACATATATTTTTAAATGGGTTCTAGTTCCAGACTTCCACCAGCAAGATGCATAACCCCATGACAAACTATTTTTTCCTTCTGATTCCAAACCTCCTCTTCTGTGGGAAAGAAATCTAGTCATTTCATTAAGACAATTTTTAAAATGATACATGAGGCAGCTAGTGGCAGAGTGAACAGAGCACTAGGCCTGGAATCAGGAAGACATTTCGTTCAAATTTGGCCTCAGATACTTACTAGTTATATGACTCTTGGAAAGCCATTTAATCCTTATTTGCCTGTTTCTTATCTGTAAAATGGACATAATAATAGCACTTCACTCCTAGGATTGCTTTGAGGATAAAATGACATAATACTTGTAAAGTGCTTTGCAAACCTTAAAGTGCTATATAAATTGCTTATTATTACTACTATTACTAGTAACTACCACCTCAACTATGCCATTTACTTAAATTTTCCAAACCCTTCGTAAAAATGAAAAGAAATAATGGTTGGCACATTATTTGCTTACCACAAAGATTTTCTAGTCAACCAGAACTGCAAAGGAAAGTAGAAACCAGATATTTGCATTTGAATTGAAACTAGAAAATCAAAACATTTCTTTGAAAGTCCCTAAACACTTTATAATTGACATTTTAGTAAGAATTAGTATTTGATAAATTCCTGTTTTGAAGTCATTCTTCGTTTTGTACCAGTATGCCCCCCCTAAAATGTTCATATTTTAAAGTAAAATTAAGTATTTCATCAAAGGTGCCCTCCCAATTCTTTTTTTTTCTTTAGATTAGATTTAGAATTAACAAGTGAATTTTTGGTTGTGAAACATTTTTAAATTCTATTATTAGCATTTTCTTGTACTAATTTCTTGGTATTTGGTTTGTAAAGGTTTACCTGTGAATTCCCATTTGAGGTGTAACATTAATAAATGCAGCTCTTTGTTCTCCAGAATACTGATGATTCATATTTTGGGCCCTGCATTAGAATTAGAAGGAAATTTTTTGGTCCCTCTTCCATTACACTACAGAATTACAATACTTGTTCTTTTTGTAGTCTGACATAATTCTTGATAAATAAGCAATTCCTGATTGCTTATGAGGGGTCATTTTTGCATAAGGTAGGTACCATTTTATGCCTCCTGGACAGCATATTATATTACTATTTGTACCTGTTTATTTTCTCTGCTGTGCTCTAATCCATTGGTACAGTTACATGAGCATTAACTATATTCATATTTTCTTACAAAGTTTACATGGGGATGAATGTACTGACCCTGTTCAAGGTACTAGAGGTAGAAATAGGTTAATTCTTTTTTTTCTCTTTCCCAAATTGGTTCATTTATTCTCTATTGAATAAATCTCATTTTGATTTAGTAGCTATGATGTCTTAAAGCATGGTGAATGGAGGGAGTACTGGGTTTGGAACCAGAATTGTCTCTGCCATTTAGTACCTCGGAGACTTTGGGTAGGTGATTTAAGCTCTCTGGGACTTAATTTCTTCTTCTGTAAAAATAAGGAGGTGGTTCAGAATGCAGCCCTTTGAAGTGGAAAGAAACTTCTTTTGGAGTCAGAAACACGTGCTTTTCAAATCCTACGTGAGCCTTACTACTTGTGTGACTTAAACTCCATGAGTCTCAGTTTTGTCATCTTTAAAATGTAGGAGGTTAGACTATATAGGTTTGCTTCCAGCCCCAGATCTGTGATCCTACCATCTCACACTATGCATTTTAAGTCATTATACTTATAATGCATATTGTAATGTACAGGTATAGTTTCATATGATTTCATTGGGTTTTTAATTATAATCTGAATTTGAGCGTTATTATTTGTTTAGTACAGACAAATCAGAAAGTAAATTTAGAGAAGTCTGTTTTATTTTACATAGGAAAATGGTAAGATGTTTCCAATTCTGTTCTGTTATGTTTTGTTATTGTTTTAATTTTGTTATTTGACCTATATATTTACTTTAGTTTTACAAGAGAATTTTAGAATATATGATCATGAAGCATTAGTGTTTTTTAATTCAAAATTAACCTCTCTTCACTTGAAAGGTTTTCATCATGTAGTTAATATTAGCCATCAACTGATTTGAATGGGTATTGCTGACTAAAGAGACTTTTATTTTCAAGGTATGGTCAGATTGTTAGCTGTATCTGTAAACCACATTCTATTAAATAAATAATTTTCTCTTATTTTTCAGGCAACATCCAAGGAGCAACAATAGTAGATGCCCTAGATACTCTCTTTATAATGGAAATGAAAGATGAATTCAAGGAGGCAAAAGAGTGGATTGAAAAAAATTTAGATTTTAATGTGGTAAGTTAAATATAAGTTAACATGATTATTTGTTCATTCTACCCTTAAAACATGAGCTGATATTTTGTAGTAAAGTGCTATGGTGTTATACTACACCCTAGCAGTAACAAATCATAGTGCAATTCTTATATCATCTTTCTCAAATTGGTTCATTCCCAAATAGGAAAGTTGCACTTCTGAGCCTGCCTTCCCTACTTCCCCCAGACATACGCATGCTTTGGGGTAGACAAAACATATCACATTCATAAATAAACTAAACTTTGCCCTTACCAAAGAAGAAAAAAGATGAAACACCAGTGGATCAGAATTTTAGCACTGATGAAATAAAATCAGAACAGAAACTAGAAGTATTAAAGTCAAAGCATATCTAAGAAATTAGCCTAATGAGAATAACCATGAAGTAAAATCATAATACTTGCTTTTACCTAATATAATTTCCTCATTAAAGACTAAGCTGGTGTAAGTGTAGCTAGATGGTGCAGTGAACAAAGTGCTGGACTTGGAGTGAGGAAGTCCTGTGTTCAAATCCCCTCTTAGTCACTTACCAGCCATGTGACCTTGGGCAAATCACTAACTCTCAGCCTCAGTTTCCTCAGCTGTAAAACAGAGGTAATAATAGCACCTATTGAACAGAACTATTGTGAGGATCCAATGAGATCACATGCAAAGTGCTTTGTAAAAATTAAAGCTATATATAAATGCTAGCTCCTATTGTTAAAATGTTCTCAAAATCTGCTACATAATTTACTGCAACACCCATAGCAGCTTCCAGCTCAAGGAAACAAAACAAGAACATATTAAATTAAGACAACGAAGAAATTTTTTTAAAATTACTGTATTGTGATGGTTACTTGAATTCAATTTTAGCTAGCTTTGTAATTATGTAGATAGTCTACTCCCTTTAAAGCTGAAAGCTTTTTCCATTATCAGAAATCATAAAAGGGAATTAAAATTGAGATTTAAAATCTAAAGAAGAGGAAGACATCCTTATGAAGACAGTACTTGAACTTTAGTTCCCTAATTTAGAGGGAAAACCATGCTGGCCTGAAAAGAAGCAAAGTAGCCTAGCCTGACAAGAGTGTTGCACTTTGGGGAGACAGCTAACACCCTTGCCAGATTATATTAGAAGGCAGCCACCACTTCTCTGCCTCCTGGTGTTAGGTAGCTCTTCATATATGTTTGAGATATGGTGAGCTGACAAGCATATTTGTTTATGAAATAAAATTGTGAAGTTTCCTTTTGAATAACTTTTCAGTGAGGCAGATAATAGTTTTATTTCTTTTTTCTGCTGTAGTATATAAGTAGTTCCCAAATAAGTTAATCCTAGATTTCCCCCTAGTTAGCACTTGAGTAGCATTTTCTAGATCTTTTTTTTAATTACAACCATAATGCTATTTGTTGTTAAAACTTTAAATACTCTTATAGTGTGATTTCCATCTCTTTCCCTCCCAAAAATATAGACTATGTTAAGAATGAATTTTTATCAAAAAAATTTCTTTATAAAAACTGACTTAAGCAAGGCAAAAATGTGTTTCATTTTCAATGAAAATTTGTTATTGCATAGACAAACACATTTTTCTTGGTTTACGAATGTTAAAAATTTTTTAGCAGAAGTAAAAATGGGAATTGTATTAGAAAGAATACAATTGAATTTGCATTTTTTTTACTGTAAAGGGATATTTTAACAAGAGGGGCTGTTTTGGCAAATTTAGTATTTCCTAGATAATGAAAATGCATATAATAAATGCCCTTCATTGGTTTATACTACCAATAACTGAAACTCATTGAGTTTTAATTATAGAACAATAACCAGACTTTTTTGCATTATCATTAGTACAAAGTTCAAATAACTTCAAAAGTTGTTCAAGATCATAGGAATGATATGTACCTGGGAGTAGAAGAGATGGTTTCACAGTAAGTTCTCCTGGTTAACAGGAAGCCCCTACATGAAAAAAGCAGAAAGAACATAATATGTATTCTAACTCGAATGCAAACTTTGTTCTGAAAGATTAGGTACAAAAACTTCTTCTCAATAATTAAAATTTGTCCTGGCAATTGAACATCCTTCTATTAATTCCAAGAGAAGTTTCCAAGTCACCAATCCAATTCAAAGAAGGAAAAACTATAAGAACTAAGAAATTAGTAGTTGGAGAAGAGGAGTCTTGTTTTCAGACAATAACCAGACTGTGTTTGCGTTATCTTTTGTTTGTTTGTTTGGTTTGTTTTTGGTGAGGCAATTGGGGTTAAGTGACTTGCCCAGAGTCACACAGCTAGTAAGTGTTATGTGTTTGAGACCAGATTTGAACTCAGATACTCCCGACTTCAGGGCCGGTGCTCTATCCACTGCACCACCTAGCTGTCCCTTGCATTATCAATAGTACATAGTTCAAATGACTTCAAGAGGTACTTAAATTCATAGGAATGATTTGTACCTGGGAGTAGGAGAAACAGTTTTACAGCATCTTTCATCAGTGAAATCCAAAACTGGAGGACAGATTCAAGGTCTGTGCTATAATGAATTCTGCACTGGAGAATGGTCAATTGAGGCTAAGTATAGTGGTTAATGTTAATTATGATTAACTTAGCTTCCCTTTCATGTCTGTGTTCCTATTCCCAATTTGTCTCTCTGTTCTTAATCGCTTTTCAAGGTTTATGCCCTCAATAACTGTGAGTTCCTCTTTCAGCTTTCTCCATCCATCCCTTTCACAGAAAAAGAAATCAGCAGTTATTTTTTGAGTTCTTGCTACATGCAAGACACTATATATTGTTCAGTATGAAGAATAAAAATTAATATGACACTGTCCCTGTCCTCAGGAACTTTACAATGTAGATCAGAAGTTCTTAACCCTGGGGCCCTTGGGCTTTTTGTTTTCAATAGTTTGATAATGATATTTCAATATAATTATGTGGCATTTAAAAATTTTAGATATAATTTCTTGGTAATTAATCATTTTATTAATAATGTCAGCATGTGTATTAAGAAAAGGATGGTCATTTGACCCTTTTTCTCAAACCAAAGGCCCTTCATAACAGAGGGCTCACAGTTTATGTGCCCTTGGAAGAGTAGGTGTTCTTGAGAATGTCAATCAATTCTGACTGGTTAATAACTAATGGGAATGAATATTATAATAAGGGGTTGAGCTATATTATTACAGTGACAGTCTTGCAGTATAGGACTTGGATCACCCAAATCTCAATCAGATTATCAATTTCCATATCACCTGTCTGACAAAAGGGAGGATCAACATTTTCCCCAGACCAATCTGAATAAACACAATGAGAAGGAATCCTCTCAGCGCCAACTTAGAATTTCTTTTACTGTCTGATTAGATCTTGGCCTGGGTAAATCTTTAAGAAAGATTTCCTGCAGTGATTGACTTCTAGATGAGGAAAGAAAAGGAGAAAAAACTTGGTTCTGATTCAATAACTAGTTATTAAATACAAGACAGAAATAATCATTTCTATCAGTTACCTTTGTAATATAGGGAGCTAGGTAGCATGAGGCAGCTAGATGGTATGGTGAATAGAACTCTATACTCAGAATCAGAAAGACCTGAGTTCATATCCTGCCTACTTACTAGCTGTGTGACCCTGAGCAGATCACTCAACTTCTCAGCCTCTTTTCCTCATGTATAAAATGGGGATAATAATTGCACTAATCTGACCAGAATTGTCAAGAGGATCAAATGAGATAACACGTAAAGCATAGTGCTATGTCAGCTGTTGAATTGTGCTTGGATTTTACCAGATTGCCCAAGGGAGTCTGTGGCACAAAAGTGTTAGGAATCTCTGGTCTAGATAAAAACATGACCTAACACAGGTGGTTAACATTAAAAGACAAGCACAAAATCAAGATAACAGTGGAAGAGATATCACAAAATAGTATGGGGTTAATTATCATAGCCATTATAAGAAGGGAGAGGTTATTTCAGATTGGGATGATCGGAAGGAAGGGTTTGCTAAGAAAGTGTGATTTGACTTAGGCCTTGGGAGGATAGAAATTATAGTAGCTCACCCATATGTGACATTTTATCAAAGCAAAGCCTTTACAATTATAAAGCATACGTTACATATCTCATTTATTCTTCATAATAACCCTGTGAGGTAGAAAAGAATATATTATTAACTCCATTTTATTAATCAGGAAACTGAGGACCAAGTTAAGTAATTTCCCCAAGGCCACATGTAGTAATTAAGATTACAGTGATGGGGCTAGGGCTTGTTTCCTAATTCTAAACCCTACAATCATTCCCCTATTGCCATGCTCCCTCTGTAAGCATTTATCAGTTCATTCATTCATTTAACACATGCTTATTAAGCATCTGTTTTTGAAGGAACACTGGGCAGGATGCTAGGAAATTTAAAAAATTAGATAAGAATATAGTCCCTGCTCTCAAAGTCTGTTAGAGAGATGTAGAGCAAAGTATTGTGTGAGGTAGTAAGGAGGAAGACAGCTAATGGAATTAGCAAAGCTCATGTGGGCAAGAGCATGAGTTAGTCTTTAAATTAGGTGAAGCGGGAAAAAGAGGAAATTCTAGGCACAGGGAAAAGCATAAGCAAAATATAATGGAATTATAGATTTAGATCTGGAAGGTACTGTGAAGCCATCATGTCCAACATTTAGAGAATCAGAGAAGTTAAATTACTTATCCCTGATCACACATTAATTATCACAGATTAGATTTGGACTTGGAGTTTCCTTACTCTCTACTCTATTTGCCATATCCTACTGCCTGGCATGGAAATTGGAAAGCAAAGGAAGTGTTTGGGGGTCAGTTAGGTTAAAATATTTATGATGAGATGAAGCTAGAAATGTAGAGTGTTGTCAGATTGTGGAAGACATTGAATACCTGACAAACAAGTCTACCTTTTACTTGTTAGGCAGTTAGAAGCTACTGAAGATTTTTTTTTTAACCGAAGGAAAGAGTTACGTAACTAAATAGATACAGAAGAAAGATAAGGACATCAGTAGTATGAAACATAGATTGGAGGGATGAGAG